AGGTAGAGCGGGCTTGTGGCTCCACAGTTTTCTCCCGTTTTATTTTCGTGATCGCGCTTTCTCAATTTCGCGGACCCGGACATCTCGGAGCCTGGAACAGACCAGGGGAGCTGCGAGTAGTCAACCAAGCGACAGCCGCACGCGAAAGGAGCACGCCACGGCACGCCACTACTATGAAGATATGGATAATTTAGTTTACGATAATTCTTTCATTTTCATTTTTTTCACTCTTCAGTATCTTCTAGTTTAAATCAAATTGCCCGACTGGTTGGAATCGGTTGTGAACCTAAGAGTATTCTGCTCATGTGTGACTTCTGACGATACCCCCAAATGGAGGCTGGTTAAGAGCATTCGTTTGTCACGACTTTGATTTGACATTTTTCCATTGTCCCCCAAAAAGACAATGCATGCAGGAATTAAAATAACGTGACCCTAGGTGTTAAAAAACTACAGTGACTGTCTAACCTCTCCTTAAGGACACCTCTATAATACGGACACCTCTCTATTACAGATAGTTCATTTGGTCCCAGAAATACCAAAAATCATACATTCCCTCCCTCTATAATACGGACACCTCTGTAAAGCAGACACTTGGTTCTGTCCCTTTGGTGTCCGTATTAATTAAAGAGTTTGACTGTATAAAGATTGCGTGATAATTAAACCAGGGCTCCCCCTAGATTACTAACGTCATATCGTCCTCTGATGACGTCACTAGCAGCTGACTGCCAGTCAAGGGTGAAAAATATTTGTAACGTCTGGCGTCACTACCATGGGTGAGATTAAGATACTGTTGAATCAATTTACCTTTGTGAAGAGACAGAAACCTGTGGCCTGGGTGGCTGGCTTTTCTATTGGAACGTAAAAGAAGTTACGTCTCTAAATACCAAAAGCCCTTAAGAAACTGATTTCTAAATAAGGGAATTATCGCGTGTTCTTACCATTCAGCCCACACTCGCTACAAACGTTAACTTCAAAGGCGTCACTCGAGATCATCATCCTTTCAAGCAGAAGCATGCTGGTACGAAACAAAAAAGATCAGTGATAATCACATCACGAAAAAATATTCAGTAACAGCTGACAACTATGAGGTTTCGATTCGAAAGGATTCTACTTAGAGAGTTGCAAATCACCAGACAGTGCCCAATTTGCAACGACGATTTCTAGCACAAAGCAACATTACAACATTGTTGCGACATTGTTTCGAATGGTTGCAACATTGTTCCAACATTGCCACGCTGCGTTGCACTCAAAATCGTCGTTGCGAATCTTCTCACATCACCTTTAGCATGTAATAACCGGGTCTGAAATTTAAAAGAAAACCACTGACCTTGGCACAAGCGTGCCAACGCCATGTGTTTCAGCTTCTGATACTTAGACCGGGCAAAAGAATATGCAGGCTGTAATGGCTCTCTAGAGGCGATTAAAACAAAGAAAGAAAATCAAATGAAACACGTGTTGCTAGATTTCCCCACCCCTTCGACACCCCGATGGTGTAAGAGGGCGGATTCTAGAAAAAAAAAAACATGCAAGTAAATGTGGTGGGCCTTAGTTTTTTAGACTGCGTAGTAGACGGTTTCGTTTGAGAGCGTTTGTGAAGAAAAACTCGCGGCCAGGCCGCGAAAGGAATAGGCATGCCAGGGATTGTTCCCTTCTGCTTGTGGTTTATCGCCTGGGATTTTTCTGTAAAAACGTTCCTGGCAGGTCGTATGAACCTTCAAAACTACCGTTGCAGTGAGGTTTGTGTTACATAACGCCGAGCAGGTTGATGGACCAAGTACCATTTCCTATCCACAATGCTTGTGTATAGAATGATATTGATAACACACCCGAACACTTGACTTATAACCTGTGCAGAGCCACCCTTCCCCCAACCCCAGTAAAAAATCCAGAAAGGGGGAGGCTGTATACAGGCTATTGACTTAAGGTCATACGCTATTGTGTTATTCCTTTGCAGGTCCCACTACTGTTCGTCTTGACACAACATTTCTACTTTGAAAATACCTTACGCTTGCAAACTGCTCTTCCAAGAACTTTTGTCCATAAACATTGTTCCTCGACTTTCACTCAAACACTACACTGATGAATGACATGAAGATTTTGTTTGAAGTTTTAATGACTCCAGGAGCCAACGGTGCTGCGATACTGGGTGCAGAGATACTCCCACAGTAAAGGCGAATTCATTAACATGGTGCAACTCGTGTTGTTTTTTTTTCACCATGGCAATAGGAAATTTATCAGAAAAGTAAATAAACAAATTATTTAACTAAGAAAGAAGACCTCTGCATTCTTGCTGTCCTTGTGCAGCCGTATTAAATGCTTACTTGAGGCGAGATCAACACCGGTTGGGTCCCATCCTTATGGTATCATTTTGGTGAATGACTTATAAATGACGATTTTTCGTGTTGCCCCCAACCCAGCTGTAGTGAAACTAAGGGATGAGTCACGTGATCTTGCGAGCCCATGGAATGAAAAAATCCCTCCGGCAAAGTGGTATTGCGTCATGGAATGCTTGCATTCATTTTTTATAAATGAGCTAACTCCTTTCTTACTTACACAAGTGGTGAACCCTGCATTCCTTTTACTGTGCAGGAACACGCCGCTGCTCAAGAGGTATTCCCTTGTTTAGAACATTTTAGGAGGCTAAGGCTTGGACAGGGGTTCGGAGAGGGGTATGATTTCGCTAGTCGTAGCATCAAGTGTTCGGGGTTTCTCCGAGTCGACCGCTGGTCTTTAGAGTAGTCAACTTAATTATCTTCCTTCTTTCGGGGGTCTTTGATATATCGCGCGAGATAACGCGAGTTACTGGAAATACAAGAGGCACGTGGTACCATGACAAAGAATTGAACGGCAGATGTAGACATCGCGGATATTCTTGGTGTTACGGAGGCCAATGTCTTGATGTTACTTATGATCTTGAAACTTACGCTTGGTACCATTTGGTGATCATAACATCCACAAAATGCCCGCATCTTCATCCTTTAGTGTAAGGAAAGGTCTCGCGCAAATGCTGCTTTATGTATTAGAGAAGGGAACGAAGGAGGAAAACGACAACAACAAAAACGCGCAACCCTGGGAAATTACCGCTGAGCTCAGAGAACTCGCAACGTGGTGAAAGTGTGATACTCGTTTAGCATATACTGTATGCGTTTTTGACTAAGCGTGAAGTCAAGATGTCTGTGAAGTCAAGATGTCTTTAATGAACCGAGAAGAACTCGAGGACAATAAAAACGCAAAAAGAACAGAGGCCAGTATTTAGCAATCTTGACCGAACAAGCTCGGTCAATAAAGGATTGATTATATGGTGAAAAGATAACTTTTTCTTGCGGGACCAACACTGAAAATCCCAAGCGAGCAAGATGCCCGGATAGCACCCAAAACACAGGGTCCGCTCCATTTTGCCCTTTTGCGGACTCAGTTATATCTAATAAAATAGCACATTAAACGACGGTCAACATTGGTGTAATCTATATGGTCGAAGTAAAAGAGAATCCAGAGTTTTTTTATGTAAAAGAAATTTCACTTTACTGCTTACTAAAAAATATATATCTGATAAAAAAGAACGTAACATAATAACTGTTCCTGGAAAGTGAACCAAGTTGACTTTTCCTTATTACAACACATGGACCGTCGCTGTCAAAGCTAACAGTTATGTAGTTGCAGGTTTTTTGAAAGCCAGTTGTCTAAATTAAGCAAGGTAATCGCGACTTTGATCAATGATGCTAAACTACAATGAAGGGAAAAGGTGGATCTCACAAAAACTAAAGTTGGCCTTGAAGAATTCTATATAGGTCCACGTCAGAGCGTGGAGAATATTATTTTGCAAACTTTCCGGTGCCTTTATTGAATATTTCATTTTTAAAATTGTTAACAATTAAGAATTATTTGATCATTTCAGACGCTCTTTCAAACACCTGAAGTCGATTAAAAATAATGGCTACACGAAACACTCCTCGTCTTCAAGGTTTTTCTAGGTTGTTGTGCAAGGCAACCTTTGATTAGCTATTGCGTTGTGGCATGGTTATTCTTTAGTGCTTTTTTCATTCAATATAAGCATATACTGCAATGGTCAAGAAACTGCCTCGTGTATGTTAAACAAAGATCCACTTTTGTTTCGTTTGCTGATTTCTGTTTTGATGAGCAATTGTGCAGGTTCTTCGTTAGTATACTCTGATTTAGTGTATAAGATAACCGGTACCCGGGATTTTCGGAACTTAGCAGTTCTTTTTTTCTCTTCCATGAACTTAAAACAAAACGACAACAAAACATGTGGAAAGTTAAACAAGTCTATTCAAAATTTTTAGTTATTTTCAGGGGCCGGTTTCTCCAAAGTCCCGATAACTTTTCGGGTCCGAAATCAAATATTCAAATCGAAATGAACAGAATAAGAGCGCGGGTCCTGGCTAGCAAACTACTCCATTTTGTTTCGTTAACTGATAGTTTTATCATGTTAGATGCAAAACTATTAAAACCTCTATCTGTCATGTAAACAACAACAGCTTTACGGGCCCTTTAATTATCGGGACGTTCGAGAAACGGGCGTCAGGCCCGGAAAGCTGTTGCAGTATGCCATGCTTGAAGTTAAGCTTTGACGTTTTTGCAAGTAAGGGAATATAAACTTAGGTCCTGTCCACACTAATGCCCTTCCAAAAGTAAACGTTTTCGTTGTCACCTAAAACGCATCGATCAATTCGCGTTCACACGACCGTCCACACAAGTGCGATATGAGTGTATGTGTTTTCGTTTTAATCCACTATTAAGACCATTGGCAAATCGATGCTTTTTCGATGAAAACGCTAAGCGTGTTAGGGTGGACGGAAGGCCTTAGCGCATCGGAATGGATGCCTTTTCAAGCGAAAGATTTTGATGATTTAAAAACATGCCTTCCAACCGGACAAGTTCACGGGACTTTCTTAAAACGGGCCCTGATCAAAATTCTCGTTGATTTCTTGGTGATGACGCCAGGCTGATGAAATTTCAATTTAGTGAGTCCAATGCTTGTGTTATTCCGTCCACAAATACACCTTTCCACTTGAATTTCCACCAGCTAACTTATTTACAGAGGGATGGAACACATTGTCCCTCAACTATCTTAAGTTTAAGTGCACTGAATCTACGTAGTCACGACTTGAAGACTGAAGTCTCCTCTTTTATAGCTAGACTTTTCTTTCTTTTGGTACCGCTAATTCTTTGACAAGGAGAACGTTCGTAGACTAAAATATAATTCGCAATAATCCCAGTCCTTTACGTTCTTGAGCAGTAATTTATGTTGAAACAAAAATCAACGATATAAAGGAAACTTGAATTTTCGATGGCTTCGTGTCATCATTATCAAAAGATAAGAAATTTTAACATGATTCGGCGTGGAAATATATAACATAAAAAGGACGTGCGAAAGTGCATGTAAATTTAAGCGTGAAAATAATAATAAAAAATAATAAAATAAAGAGTTTCGCAAGGACGGAGTTCGCTTGAGTGTTGAGCGAAGGTCTTTTATCTTTTTAAGCTTTAGTTTAACTTAAAAAATGGTGTCTTAGCAATGTGAGAATGAGTATAGAAAGTTGTGTAGGGCTTCAAAAAGTTGTTTCGCAAATAAGAGCCTTGACACAACCACAGCCGGGGAAGTTCAAAACGGTAGGTTTAACAACGAAACGATGGCCACAAAACTTGTGTTTTTCAGCAATGCTAAATGACTGTATGGAAGAAAAAAATTTCTTCTCTGCGAAATCACAGTTGTTTCAAAACTGTCAGGATTTTGATGCGATTTATCGGTGATTTTCAACGCGAAATTTGCAGGAAGCCTCTACCTCTGTCGACCGCCGCCTGGTTAGCTCAACAGAAAAGCGACGGTCTGCTGAGCGGGAGGTCGCGGTTTCAAACCCTGGCCCGGACCAACACTCAGGGTCTTAGAGAACTAGGGAGAAAGTTCTGCCTTTGTAATGACATCTGCAAATGGTTAGATTTATTAGTCTTCTCGGATAAGAATGAAAAATCGCAGGCCCCGTCTAACAGCCCTTGCAGATACAACAAATTCTGTTGTGAAAGAAACCACACACTGTCCGCAAAGAGCAAGGGACTTAGTCCCCTGTGAGATGGTCTACTCAAATTCACATTTACATTAGGGGACATTCATAATTATTACTAACTTAATTATAAACTGCACTACAAGTAGGGTCACTAAAAAGAAGTCTGGGGAGAGTCCACAACCAGTGTTGTAAGAATATCCATTTACGTTCGATTCCACATGCGAAGACCAAACAACACTAAAATCACATACGTGGCTACATCTTACCTGTTCGGTTGTTTCATGCTTCCAACTACAGCATATGAATCGAATTTTGGATCCCAGGTGGCGCGAAAATTTGTTAACCATCGACCAACTTGATTATCATGTCTGTGGATAGGAGAAGGCAATATCAAAAATTTGCAATTCATTTTTTATACTTTTCTCTACGAAAATAGGCGTTCAATAATCTGTGCTTCGCTTAAAAAAATTGCTCCATTTTCTCATTTGTAAGGAAAGCGGTCGTAGAACATTTCATTCGCACCGGAAGTGAGCCGTACCATTTGAGCTTCCAACCGGAAATACGAGGCATATGGTGAACGTGGTTTCACAAATTGTCCAGTGATAATCCGGGCATTCCGGTTTGAACGGAAAGAGGAATTTGTAACATACTCTCACTGCATACTCATTACCTGACCGCATGATATTAAGTTATGGGAAAAGTCCGCTACTGCTGAGGCAATAGGCATACAACGAGGATAACACTGCAGTTGTCAACTGCCACCAGGGGAGAAGGGGTGGGTCGCGAAAATTGACGGTGGTCCCGGATCATGATCATCAAGAATAACCACGTTTAGGCGGCACGGCCAAATTTATAGTCGAGAAGCGCAAAGCATTACAACAGCAACACGCCTGCGCGATCCTCAGATAGATAGATAGATAGATAGATAGACAGTTTAATAATAACCGATTTGCAACTAAAAGCTGAATTATACGATTATTTACAAAAAATTGAATATTGATAATTACATTAAAAAGACTACAAGTGATTTAAAACAGCAAATAAGGACACTATATATATGTTCTAAAAAAAATATATAGAAGAGGTTTAAAAAATATACTAAAACCGTTCAAGCCTTAAGGGCGTTAAAAGTAATAAAACTACTACGAAACCTGTTCGTCTTAAAAGCTGGCTTAAACTTCCGCATATTTCTTAGGTCAAAGGTACATGTGTTGCGAGCAGCAAGAAGTTCATAAAAATTGTTGCGGTGAGCTAATTAATTATGAATTGAGAATAGTCTGAGTATTTCCATTTCTGTTAGGAACTTTTCGGTGGAATGAACCGCGTGTACCATTTGATTTTCAAACGAATTTCCGGTTTTCTTTTTTCGTCCAAATGGCCAGCGCTCCAATTGTCACTTGTTCACAGGCGTGTTCACAAGCTTTTAGCGCAACAACTTCTGCGATCGCTTAGCTGGACAACATAAGCAAAAATTCGCTACTTGTTGCTTTTGGATACCACTGACCAATCACTGCCAACGCTTACCTACCCAAACCATGTTCCCAAAACTCGTTCGAAAGCTTGCACCCATTCCCCAGATGTTTCTGGACTGGCGCAAATTTTAAAACGCTGAACTAATCAACATTTCTATAATAATATATAGATTTAGCCACGGCTAAAAGCGAAGCTCCTACTAACTCGAATTTATAATTTAAATCAAACAATTCTAAACTTGTATTCCCAAGTCAGTTAACTTTAGAGCACACTCAAGTGACCTCTGACGGAAAGGCTAAGTAATTTTGGAGAAAAACAGTCCAAGCTAAGAGTGAAATTAATCTTACATCGACTTGATAGCCTTATATGTACACCTACAAAATAGCATAGCCATAATGGTTCTTGATCACAGTACATTAGGAAAACAAATCAGGCCGAATTTTTTTTTTTGACAAGTTTACTTTACAAAATCTTGCCAACAAGTCTGGGGACGTGTAAACCAACCTTTTATACTTTTTATACATCACATCTGAGGTGAAATAGTACCATGAGGCGCTGTTTTTATCATACAGACCTCGGGCAGAATGCAGTATTTCACAATTTTGCAATAAAAATTACACTCATTCAATATCCAGGACGATCGAAGCACGCGTTAGCGAAACCGTTAACAAAATTGCAAAATCACCTATACGGCGAGCCGGTTCTCACTTCTGATAAGGCCAAAGTCGCCTGTTAAAATTAAGACTAACACAGTTATACGCTTCAACATAACGGCTTTATAACGATGTGTAATCTTCAAAAGCGTTTGATACGCGCGGCATTTTGACTACTCCTGCAAGCTATGTTCATGAGCGACTGAAAACAAACGGCACAACAGCGATGAAAATTGCAAAAGAAAAGACTACTAACAATAAATAAAAGGAAAATAATTCGGTGAAACATATACAGAGGCAACAATTTTCACTCACGAAGACAAGTATTAAAGTGTCTCTGAAAATCCTTGTTTATGTTTTAAGCTGAACTCGAGGCAAGAAAATCGCTCAAAGCTTTCTTTTACAGCCAGAATTATAACTAAATATTCTTTGGAACGTTTTCTTTCTATTTGCGGTGAGAAAATGTCTGAAGGCTTTTTAAAGTTCTATAAGCTTTTATACAATGATGTGAATGCTACGCGCGCTGTGGTTGGTCGTTGCCCATGATCTATTAGAGTACAGATACATGGATGACGTCACGGGAAACTTGTTTTCTTTGTTTTGTTCAACATGGCACGCGGTTTTGAAAATGTTTGTGAGATTATTTCGGATTGAGGCAAGTGAAAGCTTCGGAAAAAGTTTAGCAGGAGCTATTTACAAAGAAGAAAAATGGAGAAACGGAGACCAAAAAAGCTATTGACTACTTGACAATGCCTAAACTACAAGAAATCTTCACAACAGTTGCCATCGTGTGTCTTCGCTACGAGAGACTCGCTGTTTTGCAAAATGTTTTCGCTATTATTCTTCTTTGAGCAAGAAAAGACGGTGAAAAACTTTTCGAAGAAACTGTACACAAGTAAGATAAAGAAGAAGCTAAGATGAAAAGTTGGGTTTGGGACTTAAAAAATGCCTAAACTAGCACAAATCCTCAAAAGGTCAAGCGGTTCGAGGCAGGTATGTGTATCGGTCTTTTTCTTTTCTGATCATTGTATAAAACAAATACATTCCATGTAGCCGTGGGTCTGTTCAGTAATAGATCACATAGGACGTCAAAATGTGGTAAAAACAACAGTGACACACTCGCCTGCGGCTCGTGTGCCACTGTTTTGTTTTTACGACATTTTGACGTCCTATGTGATCTATTACTGAACAGACGCACGGCAACATGGAATCTATTTGTTAAATAATCAAACCTGATACTCGGTCAGATCATTGTCTCAAATCTTACAAACGTGCATAAACTAAATAGCCCCATAAACTACACTCGACTTTATTGAATTAGATATAAAAAACAAACATCAAATAAAATAATTACTCAGGCTTACCATTCGAGATGCACTGAAAACTATCAAGTAAGGCCAAAATCGCTTCAGACTTTTCAACCCTCTTGCGCATCAAGCAAGGTGAAAAACGAAAACGATGCCATCCGAAATCGGATTTCCGACTTTGACAGGCGACGTATTTCTCAACCAAAAACCCGATAAACAAACTAGCCATGAATAACAGAAGACTCTTGATAGTAGCTGAATTTCATTTTGTACAATGTTCAGTGGAGAAAGACAGTTAAAAACATCACAAGTTGACACAAAACTCTGTTAGCTTCAGCTGTCAAAGTAAACAAGTTTCAAGATGCTGCGTAAATTTTCCGCATGAACTCACCTGTCAAATTTTGACCAATCAGAGCATAAAAATTGGACGTAGAGCGTGACCAACGCGTGACCTTGGTGAGAAAAGTCAAAAGCAACTGGCATGTCTTCCCTGCCTCTAAAAACTGGCTGAATCTTAGCTTCCGAGGTCAGTTTGAAATCCAAATTTTAATTGTGCGGCATATATAAAACACAACATATTTCATACGAATTGAAAAAATTAAACTTGAGCCTGCAATCATTTGAAAACTAGTCACTTGTCAGCGGATAACTTCAAAGAAATACTCGACCTCGATGGGTCGACAACTGAGCCCGCGATACGGTCAGGTGATACTGGTAAGCGGGACCCTGTTTTGACAGCAGTCAATTGATCACAACATTGATGTGCAATATGTGTGCAATATCAGTCTTCCTGTGCTCCCAAACTAGCCAGAAATTGTGGGATTGAACATTGGTTGCCCTGTGGTGCGGACGGACGGGGAGCGGGTTGGGCGGTGTACGGTCACGTGATTACCAAATTTTCTGGGATGGGTAGATTTACTTACCCATGGTGCTCCGCAGGCGCGCTTCGCGCGCCAGAGCTCCGCTAAAAGCATGGATAATCATCTTTCTATTATCCATGCTAAAAGCCAACTATCCTGACTTACCTGAAACAACATTTCGGTGAAGAGGAAACTTGCCCAGATGAGTCAACTTGATTAATACTGATGAAAAAAAAAAGAAAAAGGGAACACGAAACAAATTCACTTTGGTTTTTCAACATCATTGTATTAACAACAAACTAAAACCTGTTGCAATATTAGAAGCTTTTTATTCAGTTCTTATAAAGTATTACGCAAGCCCTTCGTAGACAAAGGCTGCAGATTAAGCAGATAAAGAACTCACATTTCAAGTTAAAACTCACTGACGTGACTTATTTGTGAAAAAATAAATAAAATAAAATAACAGCAACATGAACAACAACCCCTTTAGTTACAAAACATGCCTGGACAATTCCTTTTATTTTCAGCTAAAACGTAGGGTACAGTTGAGTCAGTTGCGTGTAATTATGTACTGTCTCTTCAGCTAAATCTATCTAATAGTTTATTTCTAACTTTAACGAACGATGGCGTTACTTTTCCCGAGTATTTGCCAATCTTTATCGTTAACACAAACAGCAAAATCGCCCTTGTCTTCGAAACTATGAATTGTTAAATTGAACTACGAATGAAGAATCATTTCGGAGAGTCGGTAGGTTTTTCTCGATTTTTCATTTTATAGAGCCACTTTTTGGTTTCGGCAGTGATTTTGTTTATGCGAAGTTTTCTGAGATTTAAGTTATAATTCGACCTTCTTGTCATTTCCACCATCAAGTTTGGTGTTTTTTTAAGTGCTCCGTATATACGTATGTGTATTTATTTCATTGCGTAATTGCGATCGAGTTTGATTGTTGAATTACAACAGATTCTTTTAGAGTACTGCATGCAGTTGACAGTTTGAAGGTTGAACATGAATTACGATAACAAAAGAGTAAAGCAATTCTGTATCTGTTTCAGATAATAACGCGAATATTTATACCCGATAACCTATCAGTTCTAATAAACAGAAAAAAGATAAAAAGAACTGTTATCAAAAGGGTCCAGTAATTATCTCATAAATAGCTAAAAAATAAAGAAGAAAATCGAAAGAGGAAAATAAAATGCAATAACACTAAGAAATCTAAGATTCAAAAATCAAAATCTGTAAAAATTATTGACTTATAAGACTGAAAAGAGTTGTGAATTATGGAATACTATTGAAAAAACTCTTTTAAATTATTCTTAAAGAAACCTAGAATTTAAATAAAGCCCGATAGTGAATAAACACGGAAATAATGCGAAATGGTTTTGAAATACTCGTTTGAGCTATTTTTCCTCAAATGTATCTTTGAATTCCTGATAAATACAGCTCCATAAGGTTCAAACAGTGTGAATGGCAGAGAAAAATACTTCAACACTATTAATTTTGATAAGTTATCCGCGCAGTCAATTTGCATACCAAGATGGCTGGACGCGTTACCACGTTGTCCGTTAATTTTGGCCTCCTGCTCTGCCTGTTTCTTATCTTGAATGGCATAAAACAAAACAAATCATCAACGAAGCCACTAAGCAATAGTAGCAACCTATATTTTGCTTCCCAAGAAGCTTGCAGGATTAAAATTCAATCTTTTCACTCTCTGGCACGGCGTCCAGCAAAACACCAAGCAGTCGGAGCTTTCCAGAAAGGCTTTATTACGTGCAAGCTTATACTTCATGGCTCTCTAGCCTTGGCTCTAATAGCGCTTGCCGGAGATGTTGAACTCAACCCTGGATATAGGAGTTTGGAGGATGTTAGGAGTTCACGAGGATTGAGGCTTGCTCATCTAAATATTCGAAGCTTGAGGAACAAATCAGACTCGCTGCGCCTGGAGGGTTTGGATAACAGAACGATCGATATTCTTACACTCAGTGAGACTTGGCTGGATGACTGCTATGAAGACTCTCATGTTATTATTCCAGGATATAATTGCATTCGCCTGGATAGGTCTGGAGCCAAAGAAGGTTTTGGTGGAGTAGCAATCTATGTAAAGGAAGGCTTGCCGTTTCGTGTTAGGAATGATCTTTACTCAGCCGCAAATGAATGTCTATGGATTGAGCTATCGCGCACTA